TGGGAAGTGCTAGATAGTTATTTCATTTGCTATTTCATAAAAGAGTTCAAGATATTTGTATTTTCCTCATATTTTGTCTTTTCTAAAAAAATCAAGAGATGAGTGATTTTGAGAGGAGTAGTTATATGCTGTGTTCAAGTATTCTGAAGATTTTACTTTATTTTACTGCACGCTATAGACTACAATATTTGGGATAATTACACATTAGATATATAAATATATAGTTGTATACAGTTGTCCACAGGCACACATCAAGATGTGCTTATAATACTGTGGGGGAGGGGTGGGGGGCATGTACACATAGAACCATTTCTATTTAGTATTTGGCAAAAATTTTTAATCTGGTTTAGACCTCTGATTTTTCTTTGAATTAGAGGTATATAACAAAATAAAAGTTGTGACTACAGTTTTTTTTTCAAATTTAAAATTTTGTTTAGTTTAATAAAGGATAAGTTAGTGGTTGTTAACGCAGGGTGATTTTACCCCCCAGGGGACTCTGGCCCTGCCTGGAGACATTTTTGATTGTCACACTGGTAGGGAGGAAATGCTACTGGCATCTAGTGGGTGGAGGGCAGGGATGCTGCTCAATGTCTTATAATGCTCAGGCCAGCTCCCACAATGAAGAGTGATTGGGCTCCAGATGTCAATGGTGCTGAGGATGAGAAACCCTGCTCTAAATAGATTATCTTTATGATTTAGTTGATATAAAAGCAAACTTGATTGAACATTGTATTTGAACGTGGTCAAGCTCATGTTTTCAATATTTATAGCCATTTAGAATGATCAAATCACAGTGTAAAGGCCACACACTTGGGAAGTGCTGGGCAGCTAAGTTGCCCCCACATCTGGTTCCCTCCCAGTGCCTTCCCATCTGGACCCATCNTATCTTTTTGTGTCCTTGATGATTCTAGACTATAATCTTATTACTTGATCTTAATCTTTGAGACTCCTGAGGGCCTACATTTGGGATACTTTTTTTCAGAAACTGCTTGTGTCTTCTTCTGCTAGATGTCAGGGGATAATTTTAGTCTTTCAAGGATCTCAGCTCAATGTGAGAATCCTTTTTTCACCCTACAGCCTCACTATGGCTCATATCTCCTCTGCTTGATCAGCCTTATGCTTCAAGGCAATCCTGTTCCTCCTTGCCACCCACATCTTGCAGGTTCCAGCCAGCTGCAGGAGACATTTTCATGAAGAGAGATTCCTTGGAGAACCTTAAATTGTCTTGCTAATCAAGTAATTCAGTGCACCAAAAATGTGTTTCATTCAAGGTGCATTTGTTTGGCTGCAGAATGGACCCTTAGACTTCCTAGTCCATCATTTTGAAAGAAGTGGTAATAATAATTAACTATATTGAAATACAGTGGTGCCAG